TAAGGTGGACAGCTTTGCAATCAATAGCAATTTTCGCCCAAACGTTTCTATTTATGATTTTTCGATGTTATTTATGTATAGACATAGATAACAGCGATAAACATTTGCAGATGAGCGATCACACACCACAGCGCAACATATCTATAAACAACACAACAATCATTTTCCAAAGCTTTGACTAGCTGAGTGTAAACATGTCTTTAATTCTGCTAAAGAAGTCTCATATACAACAAATCAAGTTTAGCGGAAAACATGAGATATACTTCTTTGTATGCAGACTAGTTTTTGTGTAAAAAGGCTTTTAGTTTTAGGGAAGAAAATGGGGTTAAATTACCTTGCAAAAGTTAGAAGCTTTAAAGTAAACTTCCACTTTTTATAGTATAAGCCTTCATCTAAAAGTTTGCGATTGCTGTTCGCAAGAAATTTGAAGTTTACATGGAGTTTACTATTTTAACTAGAGATACGGTAGATTCAAAGTAAAGCGTGATGTTATTGAAATTTGAAGTTGAGTTTCTTATGCGGACGATCAAATATAGATAATTGAACGAATTTAATTAGACCTTCCTTCAATACTAAAAAAGTAGGCACATTTGCTATATGTTATACCGCGTAAAAAGGAACAAAGGAAGTTTTACTTAATCACTTAATTAAATTCTCTGCTAATTAGCTTTTTTCGATCTCATAACTAATAACAGTGGTTTAATGCATTGCTTACTTGGCTTAGTTATCTGAGTCCTTTTTTCATTTCGTAAGAACTAAAGTTCTAAAAGAAAAATGTTTCTTTTAAGAGAAAAGGGAGAAATCGAGAAACATAGATGTGAGCAGCGGTGCACATTAGTGCTCTCCCTTTCTCTCTGCCGATTCTCTCGCTCTTGCTGGCCGAAGGTCTCTCCGTTAGCGCGACCGCATGGTTAGCACGTGAAGAGTAGACGGGTGGCCATTTTGCAGAGAATCGCGAAAAAGAAAGCGAAGGTGTTGCAAAGAAAGAGGATGGAACAGGTTTGAAGGGGTTATTCAGGTAAAAACATTTTTTTTAGATGTAACTCTTTAAAATACCAATTTCTAGTCGGAACCAGCTTTTCAAAGTGGTTTAACAAAATTG